GTGAGAAGAGAGTTTGAGCGGCACATAGATATATAGCTCTGCAGGAGAATGTAGAGTAGCCCCATCCTGGAGAATATGGAGATTCCCTGCTCCCAATTTCAATCGAACAAGAACACATCCTGGGATAGGAGGGAACTGTGGCTCCTTAAGAGGCCGGGCGCTTTTGCTTTCAGTTTTTTGTGGGTTTTTTGTTGTTGTTTTTGTTTGTTTTGTTTGTTTGTTTTGTTTTGCTGATGACATTCAAAAGAAAGGCATTCAAAATACAAGCTTCATGACTCCACAGGCACGCAGGTAATAAAGCAACCCCAGTCTGAGGGTATAAATCAATGATTCCCGTGTACATAATACAAATTATTTTGGGTTTGTACATATTGTTATGTAGAAATAAAAGTGAATAAGTGCCTAGTTTAAATTTGTTAACATACATTGCAAGGCTATAGTTCAATCATGCTGACTAGTGAAATTTCTGACTGACTGGTGAGACATTCTAAAATTTTTCAAGCCCTCTAAATTGCTGTACATGAAAAAAATAAAACATCACCTGAAAATAAGCCCTACTGCATTTTTTGGAACAAAAATTAATATAAGACCCTGTCTTATTTTCAGGCAAATATGGTAATTGTTGGTTTTAAAATCCATGTTTATTCAAGCTGAAAATCACCTTATCTTTTCACTCTTATTTTCTTGTGTTTCTCAGGTCACCAGTTCAACCACGGTCCAGTGTTAGATTTTTCTTCTTCTCCCAAGATGATGATAGATTGAAAGGTGAAAGCTAGACATTTTTTCTTCATTAAATTAGTGTCAAACAAATGTGTCAAATACGTATTCCATCATTAGCTGTATTCCTTAGATGTTAGTGCCCAAGGTATTTCATACCAGAGCTTCAACACAGCCTGTTTTGACCTCCTTCCCTTGCACATGGTTTTTGAACTTAAGTTTCTGGAAGGTTTTTGAAGTTGCTTTTCATATCTTTGTCTTGGGACACTGAGCATCTTTTAGTTGTTTAGTCAGCAAAACTCACATCACTGGTTTTAAAATAGCTTGCTTTATCTGAGGACAGAAGTTGCTGTTTCTGTTTCTTTCTTAGAAGGTGTTTGTTGGATAGTGTTAGGTTGTGATCTCTCCTCCTTGGGTGTTAATATGTTCCTTTGCTGACAAACCGCAATTTCTAAAAGAACGAGCCCAATATTGGAAACGCCATATGGCAGGAAGTTGCATATGCTTCAGTTAGGATGTGGACAACCTAGATAATCGTTGTCTTTAACAAGTACATAATTCATATGGAATTTAGTAGGGAAGATAAAGCGAGCCACAGCAGCATTGGGTCAGTAAACACAAGCACGGAAACACATCAGCACCAGCAGGCCTTGAGATCTGTGCCTTGCTGGGATAACATCCTTCTTTCATAGGGTGGCAGAAAGATTAAAAACATAAGATGTTTAAGCTTTTCTTTATCTCCTTTCTTAGAGGGCCCAAAACTCTTCTGTAAATCCTCAGACCTCGATGAAGACAGAGATGATTGGGAAACCAGGCGCCAAATGTTACTTGAGGTATGTGAGGGAGGGAGTTGCAGGTTTGTGTCAGAGATTTTCTAGGTGGCTGTGTGGACTACCAAAACAGTTTGAAATTGCAAGATTGCTCCATTTGTTAAAGTGTGGGGAAGAATCCCTTTTGCAATCTTTTTAAAAAAAATGCAGATCATGTTTACATGCCTGCACCTAAAACATGCAGTTTAAACATGATCCTTTAATTTGTTGTGTGCCTATAATAAGTTAAAAAATGTAAATGGGTTTTCAGACTTTCCATTTGTTTCTTTTTAAAAGCCAAAGTTTTGTCATGAAATGTATCTGTTATGAAGTTCTACAGTGTAGATCTGAAGGTGGGAAAGATGTCTCATCTGAAGCTCTGCTGGGCAGAAGGGAAAGGACGTCTTACCCTTTCCTCTTTTCCTTAAATATTATAATAATTTTCTTTCTATTAATCCCTCCCAAGGATCGTGGAACTTCCACTGAATAATCCATAGCCGGGCCCTGGTGCATGTGAGCAAAATGTAGGGTTTCTTTAAGTGTGGGTTTCTGGAGTGGAATTTCCAGAATTGTGCCTGGAGAATACTTGGGGAATTCTGGGGGAGTTTAAAAAAAAATTAAAAACACATCTCTAGTAGTCAACACAGCTTTTCAAAAGAGATTTTCATTGTGTCTACTGAGTCCAGAATGCTTCTACTGTCTGAGTCCTAAACATTTGTGTAACATCTACCCAAAATAAAAGATGGAAAACAAGCCGTAAAAATACAGAGTGGGCTGAGATATCAATCTCCATGTCATTCTTTGTACGATATTTATCTGATAATATGGGCTTAAACACAAAGCCCAGTTAAAATGGATCAAGGATGTGCCATGACAAAACACGGTGCATAGTCTAGGAAAAAAGCCACCTTTTTGCAGCTTGGTCATAGGTGCTGATTAACGGCAACACATATCTGTTCTTTCCTGAACAGGGACAAAGTTGCATGTATAATTTTCCATTTGTGCTTTTCAAAAAAGCACGTGCTATGAAGTTGGCTGGTTAATAAAGCTGAACATATTTAAAATCATAACTTTAAATGGTAACTTTAAAAATCTGCAACATTTCTAGGATTGTCGAAAGAAACATAAAGATGCAAGAAGGAAAGTTAAAGCAAAATAATGAATCCAGTAATTCTGCCAAGAATCAATAATTGAAAATGGTGGGCATCCTTCCATTCTACGTGGCAAGAAATGCGTCTGTAGATGATTTGATGCTGAACATACACAACTCTGTGAAATGAGAAGAGGTTTGTGACTTGCAAAGATTTTAATACTTCCTCCTTTGGACAGCATGGATGCCTGCATTGTATATTACGGACATCTTAAATTTTAAAAGAGCATGCATTTATAGTTTGAAGAAAAAATCTTTAAGCTAGAAAGAAATCTGTTATATTAAGCCCTATCTTTGTGTACTTGTAGGTATGTGGAACAAATTTTGATATACAGCTGGATAAAACAATGTTTATGTATACAATTGTACAGATCATTTCGTCTACCATATGTATTTGTTTCAAACTGTTATTTCTTGATGCTTTTTTCTTACATTGAATTAATTTCTATGTCTTGAAAAACAGTCCGAACTTCTATGTCATTACAGTCATATTATTTAACAAGAAGCAGGGCTTACCAAACTCAGTAGGGTTTGTAATAAATATATCTCAGATGGAACTGCTTGGTGACAGTACAAAGCCATTAAAACAAGCATTTTCCTTGATTCAGTCGGGATGTGCATTACAATTTTAGATGGAATTCAGTTGTGGGTGTACAGGTAGCAAGTGAGGCTAAATTCTTTATTGCCTTGGGTGGTTTGACTAGTTTTAGATGTTAAAATTTCAGTTTCTATTGTAAAATAAAACTGTACATTGTTTTTATGATGAAAAGAAAAATCAACTAACATCAAATATGTTAATGACTGAAGACTTTAAAAATGCAAATAGATGATTTTGTATTTTCTATAATAACCTAGTTGATATGCGCGTTTTTCTCTTGAATGACAAATCCTCATACACAGCACACAGTTCTCATTGTACAGTTGCAAGGAGCTATGGGAAAAGGTGTTGTACAGTAAAACATAAGAGACACTGTTTGCATTTAAATCAGAGGTAACTTTACTTACTTAAAATGCTGCTGTGCCCTTTTGATGTGGTTGAGTTCAGTTTGCGGAGGCTACATAGCCTAAATTTGCAAAGCAGGTGACTTAGGCAAGAAGGCTAAAGCTCTTAAAGTGGTTAAGTCAAAACACTGGAAAAGTTTGGGTTTGCTGATTGCTGAGGACTACAAAAGAGAAGTAGTCTTGTGTACCAGCTCTTCAGAAAACAAAGCATATGACATGGTCTTCAAGAGATGACTGATTTTGCTGGTGTTTTTTTAAACATCTTTTTCTTAATTGTTAACTAGAATTGTTGCAGAACAAGTACAGCACGCTTACCTGGCATATTATTTATAGTTAAATGGTTCATGAAAAAGCACTGACATAATGCTCTGGCTGCACAATGTATGTTGTCCCTGAGCGTTCTGGAAACATATTGTCCATTCCTGGGTAAGGACATACTAGAAGCTCCACGCATGTTTGACGTTTGGGTAAGCTAGGCCATGCCACTATCGTTTTGTAACAGGAACAACTACATTTTGCCTTACCTAATTTGATTTCCTCCTCCTGTTTAGTGGTATGCCACAGAGATATGGTTAAAGTCATGAAATCTGGATAAAAGCTTTTCTGATTTAAAAATGATCATACTGGATACCACAGACAAAAATCATTGCTTTATAATGGACAACAAAATTAATTGCCTGTTGTCTGCCTTTCTAAGCCCTTGATATTTTATACTTTTCTTACCAACCAAATAACTGATCTTTCTCAAGCAAGAGTAGATTACAAATGTGTTTCCCTCCAGAGACCCACACAATGGACTGATTTAGATGTAACAATCTTGGCTTCAGGATGAGTGTCATGCTTACACATCCCCCTTTGCTCCTCCTCTTGTGTCCACGTCAGGTTTGGATTAAGCTATAATTCCTTTACTTGCATGTAAAGAGTAACAGTGCTGCAAACAAATTATACTCTCACTGGTGGAAATGTACATAATTTCCTTGACATCATAAATCACAGTTTATGAAGAACTGATAGCTATACCAGAACCAGCCTAACTGAGAGGGTGTATTTCACTTTATCCATTTTACAGCTTTTTCTTATTCATAGCTTCAGCTATTAGGTAAAACAGAATAAAAGCAAAAGCAAAGAATGAAATCAAAAGAGCCATCAAACCAAGAAAACAGCACCAAACTGAAGAGGAAAAACAGCCACCCACAAATAAAGTATTTCTGCTATACATTAAAGGGATCACGGATTGCATGGGGAAACTTTTGAAACACAACGTACAAACAGTATTCAGACCCACCACAAAAATACAACAAATGTTACGGTCAGCAAAGGACAAAAGGGACCCCCTCACCACTGCATGAGTATACCGGATACCTTGCAGTTGTGGACAGGTATATATTGGAACCACAAAACGCAGCATCCACACCAGAATCAAAGAACACGAGAGACACTGCAGACTAAAACAACCGGAAAAATCGGCAGTAGCTGAACATGCCCTAAAACAAGCTGGACGTGAAATTCTATTTCAAAATACTGAAGTACTGGACAAGACCAGAAATCATTATTTTAGATTGCACAGGGAAGCCATTGAAATCCACAAACACCAGCAAAGCTTCAACAAAAACAAGAAAGACTAAAACAAGGCCTAGCTTCCAATACTGAAAAAAAACAGCTTGCAAAAGGTCAGCAAACTACCCAGCCACAAGGACCGGGATCATTGCACAAAAAAGACCAGCTAACGACACCCATCAATCACAGTGACAGATAATCTTCCCCCCCCCTTATCACAACAAAAACACGCTGATCACCAAGGATGATTTTACTACTGTAGTGCTGGTGATTTTAGGAAACTGAAGACAATCCCAATCTTCTTGCCTCCAACAACAAAAGGCATCTGACAGAAGACTTGGGACCTTCGGGGTGAAACTGGATATTTTTTATTTCCAAAAAATAATTGCATCTGATTATGTCAATGGCATAAGTTACAGGGCATGCTTTCAACCTGTTCTTCTTGACATTGCATTATAATAGTTTGAAAGAAGAGCTTCGAAATTTATATATTCTCCATTCTGTTTCAGACTTTCAGAGGGTAATATATAATGCATCAGTACTTTGAAATAAATTAAGGTTGTGCAAGACCTTCTAAAAAGCTGATGGTCTTTAGCGAAGATTTGAATATGGATGTCTGATTTTACTCTAGTCAGCATCTTAATTGCTTTTCACTCTTTCATCATGTCAGAGAAGAGAAGGGGAAAAGAGCAGTATAAAAATGAGGAATGAAGACAGTTCTGCTGCCTGTTATAAATGTGCTCTGTCTAGCATACAGCTTTCTGTTGGATAGATCAAAGGAAGTCACTGGAAGTGGCTTCAATTTTTAAAAAAGCCAAATGCAGTCACCTTAACTTACAAGGAGGTGGTATTTAAATGGACTCCACTCACACTGAAATAAATCTGTAATCCATAAAGTGCTGCAGTATTTTGCTTTCTCTGCTTTTTTCCAACATGCTCGCATAAATTAACAGAGCTACTGTTTTAGAAATTGCTACTCTTTTATAAAGTTGAGTCCACTATTTCACCTCTCTAGATGGCACCCTTGAGCAGGATTCATGAAAGGAAACACTTAAGTCTGCCTGCAAAGAGCAGCCGCCAAAGATGCAGCATCCAGATCAAAATAGCTTAGAAATAGTAGTACAAAAGGGATCTTAGTAACATACTTCCCACATAAGTATTTTCCCTGTCATAAACCTAATACTTTTAAAGTGTTTCTGAAACATTACTAGCATTGGATTTTGTTTTCATTTTGTGTTTCATATTGCCACCCCTGTAAATGCTGAAACATGAAAAGCTTGGGCAGATGCTGGTAGAGCTTGGTCCTTCTTGTAACTTCACATCTGTAAAATTCGCAGCAGCTCAATTTCCATTTCTCAGTCTATGAGGAAGGGAGCTAGGGAGAACCCTGGTAGCTTCACATCTGTAAAATTCTCAGCATCTCAATTTTCATTTCTCAGTCTATGGAATTGAGAGTGAGAAAATGGTGCTATGAAGGCTGTGAAGAAAACCACTCCCACAATTCAAAATAATATTTTTCTTTCTTTTGATTTTTGGTCCTAAAATATGCCAGTGAGGAAGGGAGCTAGGGAGAACCCTGGTAGTGGAAAAGTAGAGTATGTGGCCTGATTTTCACCCCAGGTGTCTGCTGTGTGTTGTGTGATGTGACTGTTGTCTCACAGTGTGTGGCCCGATTTTCACCCCAGGTGTCTCTTTGCTGTCTGTTGTGTGATGTGACTGTTGTCTCACAGTCCTCACCACCTCATTTGTTTCTTCCAGAAGCCTCTCTAAACAGTCAAGTGTCTATTCTAAACCTTAGCTAACCAATGCCACCATTTTAGGATGTGGCTTGTTCCTAAACACACTTGTTCTTCCCAGAGCACTGTTTCCAGGACCAAACCCTGACTGACAGCAGTGTCTTAACCACTCTCTTTAAAACTTGAACTGCAAAAGTCCTTCAGAGCATCCCATCAGCAAATATTGTAAGGGAACCCTTCTAGGCATTAATTTTGCAACTGACTTCATAGACAGGTGGAAGAGGAAAGGGCACACACAGATTTGGCTTCCTTTGATGCTTCTGGTCTTTGCTCCTGAAATGTGTTTTTAAATACTCTGCATCCCTTCTATAAAGCTGTCTTTGAAAATATTTATGGTTTACATCATGGCACGCAAGCTACACAGAGATGGGATAATGATGAATGAGCCTTTTGGTCATTCATCAGGACAGAAGGAAAGGTTCGCTTTTAAGCAGTTTCTCAATGCATAGAGAGTATGTAGTAGCATGATGTGTATGTCTGTAAAATATTCTGATTTTTTTATATGCATGTGGTTGCACCCTAAAATAACAACAACAATCTTTATTTGCAGTCTCCAACCCATTAAAATACATACATATAATATTTATATGTATGAGGAAGCACTTAAAACATTACAAGACAGGTAAAACAGTATAAAGTAAAAGGTAAATTGCCTATGCATTTTTTTTATATTAATATTATATATGATCAGTCAATCTTAGCTTTGCGGTCTCTGACTCAATAAAATACATTCATATAATATTTAAAATAAGAGAAAGCAGTTAAAACATTTCAAGATAGTTAAAACTGTATAAAGTAATAAGATAGATTACCCATACATTGCTTTTGTATTAATATTATATACAATCCGTCAATCTTAATTCTGCAGATCCTGGCCCATTAAAATACATTCATGTGATATTTAAAATAGATGAAAGCAATTAAAACATTTCAAAACAGCTAAAACAATAAAATTGATAAAATAGATTACCCATATATTGGTTTTTTATTTTTGTTTTTGTTTTTATTTTTATGACGGGGTTAGGTAGAGGTCAAGATCGTTTTTCGTATTCTTTGAGCAGAGAAAAGGAATTTGGCCACTGATTCGGTGGTTAACTTGTTTGTGTCACTTAATAAATATTTTGTATACCAAATCAGAGTCCTACCTGGAAAGATATTCATGATGGGCTTGAGGAATTTGATAGGCTCATTTCTGTAAAAATCACATTCCAAAAGGACATGCTTCAGAGTTTCAATTTCTCCATCCTTACAAGGGCACAATCTTTTTTCATAGGGGGTGCCAGAGTATCGCCCATCTAGAATTGCGCATCCTAAAATATAATATGAAGGAAGCAACCTTTGATTCGTTGGAAGTCCCTGCTAATGGATGTTGATGAGGGAGCCAATTGTCACCCGTTCCCACTCCTGCAGTTCCTTGGCCTGCCTCTTGCCCTTTGGCAGGCTCCCTCAACTGTCGTAGGCAGAGTGGCTGTAATCTTCTCCCCTTTCCATT